CTGCCATTGTCACTGATGGGCTCGGCCTTGGCCAGCGGCGGTTCCGTCTTGGAGCCGGCTGGCATTGGCTCCGTCGGACATGGGGGAAGCTTCTAGTAGCTTCTCGCAGAAGCCACCCCTGTAGGCCCCCCGCTACCAAAACCTTGCCACGCAAACCCAATACAATGACTAAACTGCAGTGACATATGAATTAGTAAGTAAACTCTTACACTCTAACCTCAAGTGGTTAAATACTTGTTCTTAGACATCCATCCTAAACTTGCCCTGACTGGTCTGTATTGCTCTATTTTGTAAAATCATTGTCCCTTGGTTAAGGGGGCAGTGAAAGGGCTTCTCTCTTTCTGGTATTTTCCGCATTAATATGTTCACATAGTATTACTAGCTTTAGGTAGCCTCTAGGTTTCCATACAGGTACCTTCTCTGCTGAAAAGTAGTCCTTCATTATAACTTAAATAACACAACAAAAACTTTAAAAATTCTGGAGAACTGAACTTCAGCCCAATTTTGTGTTTCCTGTATGTTAAGACATATTTCTCCCTTTGGGAAATGCTGTGTGTTTCTTGTTTGGGATTAGGTGCCACGACCTTTAAAATGCAAACTTTAATTATTTTATTACTTTCTTTAAGCTATGTTTAGCTGTTGTTGGTTTTGGTGGTGAAATTCCAAATAACTTTATCTTTTAAGTCACCTTTACTTTTCTGAACTAATTTAAAAAAAAAAAACTGCTTAGAGAAGCACAGTGCTCTTTTGCAGGAAGCAGATGCTGGACTGATTTTTATCAAGTCCTTAATTATCTAAAATGTTATAGAAAGTTAATTAGAGGACTGTATCAGGTTCTTGCTGCTGTAGCAAGCTTAACTGGTCTCTAATCCTAGGATCTTTCTTGACTCTTTTAAAAGTAACTATTCTTAATCTTACAGTATTCCTTGGGAAGGAGGGGGCGCTTTCTGTATAGGCATGCAGAGATGACTGCAAGATACTTCAGCAACATTTTGGAACTGGCTGAGAATCTTTTTGGAATGTGAATTTGATTGACAGAGGAGGTTAAAGCTTCATTTAACTTTGAGTCATTGCACTAAGGGATAAAGATTGGCAGCTGAGGCATTTGTGCACACTCAAGAGGAAACTTTGACCACTCGTTATTAGGGTTCGACATGTCATGGAAAGGTGCAGCAGGATTTGGTTGTGAGGAGTTATCAGGGGCCCTCCAACATCTGAAAGACCTGACGCATCTGGGTAAAGAGTGGGTCTCTTTATGTGCTTTAAAAATGCGAATATGCAAGGGGTAACCCGAAACAATTAAATACGAAGAAATTTATCTTATGAGATAGAATCATAGAATCATTAAGGTTCGAAGAGACCTCCAAGATCATCGAGTCCAACCGTCAACCCAACACCACCATGCCCACTAAACCATGTCCCTAAGCACCTCATCTACACATCTTTTAAATACCTCCAGGGATGGTGACTCAACC